TGTACAAAGTATTATGAACTGAAACTAATATAATATATAGGTATAACAATAATATAAAAAAGTGTAACTACTAAGTACTAATATTATTAAGTACTAATATTTATTCGAGTATTGATTGATATAATATGATATGATTATATTTTAATGAGATAAAGATAAAAACGGCGGGCGATTTAAATCCAGCCAATCAGGAGAGCCCGGTTGTGAAACAATGTATGGTATGGTAATATGCAGCCCGTCGCCGCCGTCGATCGACATGCGGGTGCCTGTAACCGCGCGTATAATTGGTATAATTTGTGCGTGTCAACACCGTGTTGACACCGGACATGGGCGCCCGTTTTCAGTAATTTATAAAAGTAAGCAATTTCTAATTTTTTTTTTTTCAAATTACTACTAACCATACTTATAATTTATAATCATAAGTTATTATTATACTTTCAAAACATTGAAAACAAAAAAATCAAAATATATTTTTACCTCAAAATTATACAATTTGTATAATTATAACAATATATACATAAATATAAAATAAAAAAGTAACTTTAAAAATATTTAAAAAAATAAACAAAACATCTTTTAGTTTGAAATTATACACTTTGTATAGTAATAACACTGTATACATAAATATAAAATAAAAAAGTAACTTTAAAAATATTTAAAAAAATAAACAAAACATCTTTTAGTTTGAAATTATACACTTTGTATAGTAATAACACTGTATACATAAATATAAAATAAGAACAAAACTTTAAAAATAAAATAAAACATCTTTTACTTTGTATAATAATAAAAATTAATACGTAAAATAATAATGAAACTTACATTTTTTTATAAAATGAATCAAAACTAACTAGATTATGCGTGATAAATTTCAAAACAGTTTTCGAGGCATAAACCAGGTTGACCTTCACAACTGGAACAGTAGAATATTGTTGTTTTTCGTAAGCCTTTTGAATGGCATACCTTGCATCTTTTTCTATAAAATTTTTTTTTTCGTTTTTTGCAACTTTTGTAGGAAAGTGCGAGTTTGTTATTTTTGGAGGAAGTGCAGGAGGAACATTTATGTTTATATGACTTTTTACTAATGCTGTAATTACAGAAAGTCTAAAATCATACAGACTACATTTTTTTACGTTTTCTATGTATATGTAGTAGGAATTTAGCAACAATAATTGAAAAAAATGAATTCCAATCTTTTTGTACCACCTTATTGTTTTCCTCTCGCATGGATAGTATGATAACATCTGGTCTTGTCTATCAATTCCTGACATATATTTATTGTACATAGAAATTGCCATCGGTTTCAATTTTTGTTCACCTCTTCGGTTAGTCACTTCAACCAAATCATTTGTGTGCTCAGAGCTTATTGCTAAAACTTCTCGTCTGTCTCGCCATTTCATTACACATTTCTTCCTTAGTATACTTTCCAACACTTTCTCCTACTTTTAATTTTTTTGAAGTTATTTCTTTAGGGTTCCCTTTTCTATTCGCACGCAAAGTTCCTGTACAATATGTTCTTTTAGCTAGAAGTGTATGAGCTAGTTTCACACTATTGTAATAGTTGTCCATGTACAATGATCTGCCACAATCAGTAAGGCCTTCCATTAATTTTACAACAACATATTCTGTGTGAGTAAAGTCAGTCGACGTATCTTGTCCTTGTCCAGAGTATATCATAATTCTATGACCCAACCCACCAGATTCTGTGAGCATATAAAGTTTGATACCATACTTGTGGCGTTTATTTTTAATATATTGCCGGAAAACTAATCTACCTCGATATAAAACCATTGACTCGTCGAGGGACAAATTTTCAGAAGCTTCATAAATATCTTTCATTTTATTATTGAAATATGTTACGATCGGTTCAATTTTATTCAGGCGATTATTGTCATGATTTTCATTGTCAACAAAATGTAAATTTCTTAAAATTAACATAAAACGATTTCTACTCATATGCTGTCGAAAAAAATTTATATTGAATAACTCACTTGTCTTCCAATAATCTTCCAACCGATTGACTCGTATAGATCCTGTATGAAACAGTAAACCTATAAACAGTTTCATTTCTTGTATATTTGTATCTTTCCACGCCGTAATTCGAGATGATGCACCTCCAGATCCAGATAAAAAAACTTGAACTGCATTTTTATTGGTTTCATTAACTATCAACTCGAAAAGTCTGTCGTCGAATAATAGATTAAAATAATCAATCGGCTCGTTTCCTTGTGGAAAAACTTTCAATCCTTTGGATTTTGAAAAAGGGATACGTGTCACTATAGGTTGTCTATTACTCCATGTATAACCTGATGTACATAGGCGGATATTGGGGGGGACTTGGGGGGCTTAAGCCCCCCCAGAACGTAATCAAGCCCCTCGGAAGGTTTTAGTATCTACTTAAATTACAACAAACAATATTGATACAATTGTAGAAAATAATCAAAACTTAAAAAAAAAAAAAAAAAATATTGTTTGTAAGAATTGATTTTCAACTGTTCCTTAATTACCGCTGATAAGACCGTTATGTCCTATCCATATCTTTATTATCTATGATAAGCATGAGCATTGAGAGTAAACAAGTTGGTAGCACTAATAGGTTTTAAGGTTATGTGAAACAAATTTTCATTTCCGCCGTCGCCGTTTGCCGTTAGTCGTTACTCGTTTCATGTTTGGCGTTTGCACATAGTATAGTAGTATATTATGCACAGACTATATTTTATTTTCATAAAGTCTGTGGTATATGTTTTCTGCGGTTTGCACGTTTTCTATGCTTCAAAATAAATTATATATATTTTCTAATTGACAATTGTACATGTTAATCATTTTTATTTTATGTAATTTATGTTATTAATTAATAATTTATAATGGCCAAAGTGTTTGACATTTTTAATATTAAAAATCAGAAATTAGTTGTTACTAATTCTTCATCAACGACAACACTAGAATCTCAAAACGAACAATTAAATATTGGTATAGAAATTGATATAACTGCACAAAAAAGTATTGAAAGTATTGTAGATGAGAATAATGTCATTTGTGACTTAGGAACTTTAATAACAGGCCCTGTTCGACCAATTTTAACAGTAAGTATAAATATTGGTAAATTGATTTTAAGTAATGTTAATTTAAATTATATAATATATTGCAGTCATATCCACTAACTAAATTTGGTGCACAAAATCGCGCATTCAATGATAAGCATTACAAAACATATGAATGGCTTGAATATAGTATATCGAAAGATTCTATTTTTTGCTTTGCTTGTAGAAATTTTAACACTGGAATTAGTGGCAATTCTGAAGATAGCTTTCTAGTTGGTTTTAGAAATTGGAAAAAAGCAAGTGCTTTGTTGCTTTGTATTTATACTTGATTCATTAATTTTTGTATTGTAATTATTAATGTATATTATAATTTATAGTTGGGTGTTAGTAGTGGAACTAAAGGCGGAAATAAAAGTAAACTTAATAAATTGGATACACATGCTAAAAGTAATTTACATTTAACATGTATGGTTAAATGGTCAGCATATCAGAAGACAAAAGAAACAGGGAGTGTTTATTCTCAAATATCTTCACAGCATACATTGATGGTTGAAAAAAATAGAAAATATATGAAAATATTAGTTGATATTGTTCTATTTATAAGTTGTCAAGGAATTGGTTTTCGAGGACACGACGAGACAAAAGATTCTTTAAACCAAGGTATTAAACTAATAACTAATAACTTATAATATTGCTGTTATTCTGAAATAATATTAAATGTAAAATACTAAAATATTTCATTATGATAATATTATTTGTGGAAAATGCAATATATTTTCAGGAAACTTTAAAGAAATATGCAAACTTTTAGCAAAAAATAATGAGGAATTTGCAAAAAAATTTAATCTGAAAACCAATTATTCGAGTCATATCATTCAAGATGAACTTACAAGTATAGTTGCAGATGTTGTGAAAGAAACGATTGTGAAAGATATTGAAGATGTTGAGGTGTTTGGAATTATGTGTGATGAAGCAAGGTAAAATATATATTATATAATATGTTTTATATAGGTATGGTCTAGTTGTTTCATTTTTATTAAATTCATTTATAGGTGTTACAAACAAGAACAAATGGCATTATGTGTAAGATATGTCAAAAATCTAGATGTCGTTGAGAGATTTCTTGGTTTTATAGATTATTCTAAGAAACAAGATGCTGAATCTTTATATCAACACATATTATGGTATCTGAAAAAGTGTAAACTTAGTTCTAAACCACAAATAGTTGCTCAGTCATATGATGGTGCGAACGTTATGTCTGGGAAATTTAACGGACTACAAAGTAAAGTTAAAAATGAATATCCTTACGCTATTTATACGCATTGTATGGCACATAAAATGAACCTCATTGTCATTGATATGTGTAAATATGTAAAGGTAATAAATATTTTTATATACCACCTATTTTTATATCAATAATCAATGATTTTAGTTTTTACTTATTATATCAATATTAGGAAACGAGGAATGTGTTCAACACTTAGAATCCCTATACATACATTTTTCACACCCGTCAAAAAATCAACATTTAATTGAGATTCAAACCAATCTGGGGATAAAACATAGGTCAATGATTAGACTCAGTGACACTAGATGGAACTGCCGCTATCGAAATATAGAGTGTGTTAAAGCAAGTTATAAGGCAATTATTCAAGCTTTAGAAGAAGAAATCGAAAATGAAGATGATAGAGGAGTAAATGAAGCAATTGGTATATTATAATAACTAATAAGTAATAATTTATTAATGAATAAAAAGTTTTTAAAGTCCATTTTTTTTGTTTTAGGAATATTAGCAAATTTAAAAAGTGGACGATTTATAGTTTATTTATTTATCTTACATAAAGTATTAATTAATATTAATATTGTTGCCAACTAATTTCAAGAAAAAACTGCAACCTTAGGGCAATCCAAAAATATTATTCAAGGTGTGATGATGACTTTTAAAAATTTAAGAACAACAGAATATTTTTCTCAGCTTTGGAGTGAAATAGAAACTTTTGCTAAAGACCATGACATATCAATACAAACACCAACTAAAGGTGATGCTTGATTACAGGCGCGTAGCCAGGGGGGGTGTTACAGGTGTAATAACACCCCCCCTCAGCCGTGGTATACTTAATATTTTTTTATCAAGATAAAGATGCATCATTACGCAGAATAGAATAATCATAAGTATAAGCACGAATCGTAAATCGTGATTTACACTTATTTATAAAAATGAAGTATATTAGTTTATATTACGATAACAATAATGTAAAGCACTAAAGCCGGGATCCGGGCGATCCGGCATTAATTAGGTACTATTTTAGACCGTTCTGTGACGTTTTATCGATTACTCGTTTCATGCACGATTTAATAATACAGTAAAACCTGTGTAATATGGAACCCGAATAACATGGAAACCTGACTTTTATGGAAAAATGTTACGGTCCCGGCGAACCTAATGTAGTTTTAAATACATCGTTCCCTGAATAATATGGAACCTGTTTAACGTGGAAATGGAAACAATATTTTGTCATGAACCTGTATATCATGGAAATATGTACATGTACTATTTTAAAATTATCAGTCAATGAATATAATCTATATCAATTATATAGATTATTTCGTTGCAATAAGTTTATTTTATCGATTAGTGTCGTAGTAGTGTTCTGACGTAAGGTGCGTATAGACGTATATTCAATATGACGTCCAAAAATAAATGTTTAACACTAAATGAAAAAATTAAACTAATTGAGTCAAGTGAAAAAGATAAATTAACAGTAAAACAAATTAAGAATTTTTTTATAAGAACGCCCTCCATGAAATAAAACGATTAGAAATGTTCGCATTGGATCAAAATAATGAAAATGAACTTCTTGAATCAATTCTGAACTTGAAAAATTTAGTAGAAAAGAAAATGGCAAGTCAAATAACAAAACAAAAAACATTGGATGAATTTTGGAGTAAGGATTAATAAATAATATGTAAAATATATGAAATAAAAATGAATTAATAATAAATAATAAATTATATGTAATAAAGATCTATTGTTAATTTTTTTTTTTACAACCTGTATTAAATGGAAACCTGTCTAAAATGGAAAAAATATCCGGTCCCAACCGTTTCCGTTTTACACAGGTTTTACTGTATAATATATCTTTTCATGCAGCGTGTAAGAAAACGTTTACAACTTCAATTATTGATTATTTGATTATCATGATCATGATGAACTATCGTAAACATAGATATCTATGATCTATCAGCTATCCGAATGTTATTTCACTTATCAGTTCTGTGATAACAAATAAAACTAATTAATATTTAATAAAATATGTTATTATGTTCATAAGTGCTATATGTTTGCAATAGCCAATAAGTTCAACATTTTTTAAATTTTAAATAATTATTAACTATGGAGGCTACAAAGAAAGGTATTAAAAGAAAAAGCACTATTTTATCATACTACACAAAAACACCTAAAGTACAAACTGATAATCTCGGCGAAAATGACAAATTAGTAAGTGGTTTAAATTTGTAAAAGTTGAAAATGATTCTATTATGTGTTATACCAATTAAATGACTTAATTTTAATAAGAATGAAACGGAAGTGGTAGTATCATTAGCTGAATCTGCATTAACTCCATTCAATCACAATTCACAATCCATGTCTGAACAGCACAATGAAAATAACAAATTAGTAAATATTATGAATCAAATACTTGCATGTATTAATATTTTTTGTGTAAATTTTAAATTTAAATTTTATTAGATTGAACCATCAGCATCTGCTCTTCAAACAGTTATTACTCCTACACAAATAGATATTGGTTTATTTATTGGTCAATTTGAACAGCCCACGTCTCAGGTAGAAAATATATTTACTTGTATACAGTATACCTAATACCTAGTAAAATAAAATTTTAGATTTTAAGTTAAAAATTATTTAAGTTAATTAATATTAACTATTATATATATATATATCAGTATAATATGACATAAGTGCGTATAATACAATGTGTTAACACTTTTACTTTATTTGTAAAAAGAAACATAGCAATAGTACAGTATACTGTAGTTCAGAGATCACTGTTTAAATAGTAAAAGTAAAGTATTTAGTATATTATAATTATTGTTAAGTAACTTTTATATCAGGTTTTTTTATCAAAATAATGCTTTTTTTTGCACCTTGATTTCTTGATAATAATTATTGAATACATTTGCTGCATAACTAAAATGTAAAATATATCTCTAAAATAATTATATTATGCTTTCTGTACTTTTTGCTGATCTGCACATATTATAATATATACCTAAATACATAATGCATGGGGCATTCAATTTTTCAAGTTATCAAATTAATGAATATTTTCTGTGAAGTGCATGTATTATATTATTTGTTATGATTACAATAATTGCATTTTAATTCTAATTGCATCTAATTCTGTAGTTATGTAATCTGTGGCACAACTATGCTTAACGCTTATTGCTTGTTTTATTTTTTTAAGGTTAACTCTTCTCATCGGTATAACATTTTAAAGAACACATTTAATCCTGATACAACATTTAAGTTTCCTGGTAGTGGTAAAAGGAATCTTAAATTTCAAATTAATTGGCTTAGTAGATGGAAATGGTTGGCTTATTCAGTATCTTGCGATGGTGCTTTTTGTAAATATTGTATGTTGTTTTGTCCAAAAGAAGTCAACACTCAAAAACTAGGTCAACTTGTCTTCGAAAAATTTAGTAATTGGCACTGTGCTGTAGAAAAATTTAATGCCCATCAAAAAACAAATTATCATATTACTGCCACATTAAAAGCTCATGAATTTTTGTCTGTATTTGAAAATAAACAAGAAAGTATTGCTGTTAAACTTGATTCTAAATTAAAATTAGAAATTGAAAAAAATAGAAAAATGATAAGACCAATAATAGAAACAATCTTACTCTGTGGTAGACAAGGTATTGCTCTTAGAGGACATACAGACAGTGGTCCTATTGATTTAAGTTCTTTATTCCTATCCAATAATGAGGGAAATTTCAGAGTTATATTAAAATATGTTCTTATGAATAGCAAAGATGAATTAAAAAATTGTTTTGAAAATCTTCCAAAAAATGCAACTTACATCAGTCCTGATATACAAAACGAAATTATAAATGTGATAAACAGTTTAGTTATTAAGAAGCTTGTTACTAAAATAAATCAGGCAAAATGCTTTACAATCTTGGCAGATGAAACAACGGATGTAGCTGGGATAGAACAATTTTCTATGTGTGTTAGGTATTTTGACAAAGATACCAACAAAATAAGAGAGGATTTTCTTCAATTTGTACCAGTAACAGATATGAGTGGAAAAGGTTTAGCTCAAGTTTTGCTTGAATGTCTTGGAAATTTAGGAATTAACTTAAATTATCTCAGAGGCCAAGGGTATGATGGAGCTTCTGCCATGCGAGGGCTATTCAATGGAGTGCAAGCAATAATAAAACAATCTTACCCATTAGCTTTATATATACACTGCTGTAGTCATTCATTAAACTTAGCTATATCTGATGCATGTGATGTAAAATCAATTCGTAATGCTGTTGGAATTATTCAGACAGTTTGTAGTTTTTTTAACACGCCTAAAAGACAGGCTGTTTTGCAAAATTCTGTAGAACAAATTGCTCCAGATTCAAAAAAAACTAAATTAAAAATGTTATGCCCAACAAGATGGGTTGAACGACATGAAGCGATATTAGTATTTTTAGAACTTTTTGATTCAATAATTGACTCTTTAGAAACCATTTCAACATGGATTGATAGAGAAACATCTTCAAAAGCAAACAGTATACTTTTCTCTTTAAAACAAGGAGAAACTCTACTTTCCATACACATTCTTGCAAAAGTGTTTTCATTAAGTATGCCATTAAGTCGTCAACTTCAAAAAGAAGATATAGATTTGTCCATATCAATGGAACTTGCAGATAATGTAATGAGTGCAGTATGTTTGTTGCGTACTAATGCTGCAGAAGAATTTAAAATAATATACAGTGATGTTGAAAAAAAATGTGAGTCATTGGGGATTATAATTTCAATACCTCGACTAGCTATAAACCGGACAAATCGTTTAAATATTTCAACAGAATCACCTGAAGACTATTTTAGGATTTTGATTTTCATACCTTTTTTAGATAATTTTTGTGAACAACTAAATGACAGATTTTTGAACCATAAATCATTATTAAAACAATTTACTTGTTTAATAAATGCAAATGAGAAAAACGAGACTGAATTTAAAGAGCTTTTAAAGACATATTCTGCAGATATTGATGCTGATGAAGTATCTGCAATTGGCGAGTTTACAATATGGCATCATCAGGTGAAAAACAAAAACCCTAAAAATGCTACGGAAGCATTCATTAATTGCAATGAAGAAATATTTCCTACGGTTCATCAACTTTTAAAAATATTGATTACTTTACCAGTAACCACTGCAAGCAGTGAAAGATCTTTTTCCTCATTACGGCGTTTAAAAACATATTTGAGGAACACGACTGGTGAAAATCGGTTGAACGGCTTAGCAGTTATGAATATTCATCGGGATTTAGTCGTAACCACTGACGAAATAATTGATACTTTAACTTTAAAAAATAGACGCATTAAATTAGTTTAATTAAAAATAATTTTTTTTTTTTATTAATCATAATAATATATATGTGAAAAATTTAAATATACCTACGTAAAGTTATCAATTTTGTGTGTATAATTTTTTCAATTAATTTTGAATAACACCCCCCCATAGAAATTTCTAGCTACGCGCCTGCTTGATTATACATATATTTATTTATAATTCTTAATTTTAAGAAAATATTTACTTAACTAGGATGTAAAAGAAAAAGACAAGAGCCAACAATTTTTAAAGATTTTGATGTCACTGCAACCACAAGTGCTGAACATTATAGTATCGATGAAACTAATGAAACCATTGAAGGTTATTTTAAAAAAAATGCTTTCTTTCCTGTATTTGATGCTATCTTGGTAAATCTGGAAAAAAGGTTTTCTCCTGAAAGCCTAGAAATGGCTACAGCTGTTGATCAATTTTGTCAACTTAACTTTGAGGAAAGTGTTTTTTTTGTAGATCACTATAAAGTAAGTATTGATTTATCATTTATAAAAATTAATTTCTACTCACACTCTAGTTTTCTATTTTTAAAAGTAATCCTGTATTTTATATATTTTTCAGGATTTGATGTGTGTATCTAAAGATTTATTGAAGTCAGAAAATTAATGGCAGTGGCAAAGAATTGTATATTGCAGTCTACTGACAAAGAATATATAACTTTAAACGATGTAAAAAAGGTTTTAACAAAAAGTGTTTTCCCCAATTTATATAAATTATTTCAAGTTGCTATAACTATACCAATAAGTTCCTCAACTTGTGAAAGGAGTTTTTCAGCAATGCGTCGAATCAAAAACTTGGCTTCGAACTTCCATGTTGCAGGAGCGGTTCAACAACACATCAATATTGTATATTGAAAAAAACATAACTAAATGTATTAATACCGATACTGTTATTGATATATTTGCAAAAAACAATAGATTAATAACATTAAAATAAAAACAAATTTAATAGCTTTAAATATTTATTTTTTATGTTCATATAACCTATACATATTTGGTGCCTCAGCTATAATAAAGTAGAAGAGCCACTAGCTTGCAGGTTGAAGTGCCTAATAATGTGTTGACGCTAATGGATATGGTAAAAATGTTAAGCCCCCCCCACGGATGTGACCAGATATCCGCCTATGCTGATGTAGAAATAATAGGTACATCTGATATTATCTGATTATCCTCTTCGGGTTGTACTAATGGAAGTGACCATTCTGGATCGACATCATCATCACCAGAATCCCCTTCCCCTAAATCAGTACCAGAACTTAAGCCGAAATCATCATCTGAATTTTCTAACATACGTAATAATTCTTCGTCGGTCGTTGCAGGGGGCCCCATTTTTCTTAAAAAAAATGTTCAGGTTCGATCATATTTTACATTTTACGTAATTATACAACTAAAGAAGGTCATAAGTATTTATCGATAATATATAATTATAATTTATTATTGTAAATAAACTCCGAAAATTGGGAAAAATTAATTAAAAAAAAAATATATATAAATTTGTCTATACCTAATATTATGATTATATATTTCTACTGTATGAAGATAATTATTGTATTAGTAGGTTAGTAGGTATATTATAATATAACTATCCAAATGTGAAAGTAATGTATAAAAATAAAACTTACCTTTTATTCATTTTTATTTCTTATAACAGAATAAATTGTAAATAAAATATAAATATGACGAAAAATCGAAACCAACTATTCTGCGTAATAAGCAACACGCTAATGAATAGCCGACTAAAATTTCAAATATGTACGGCTATAGCCAGCTTCACAAAGTCACAATAACGGACAGGTTACAGAGTGTCAACGACGTGTTGACACCGGCTATGCGCGCCCGCCTAGTTGTGTCAACGACGCATTGACGTTGGCGTTTAACGTGTTAAATTAGCTACAGTATATTATGCATTTATGCCGTGTAATAATTCCCCGGACAAAGTTCATATATTGTCAGCTAGAGTTTGTGAGAGCGCTAGTTGCATTGCTGCACGGTGTCTATACTGTGAATTGAGTGCAGTGTATTTCTACATCACATCATCCCATCATGGCCAGTGTTGCCGAACTAGCCATTTTATAGCTAGACCTAGCATTTTTTAATAGTGGTCTAGCTATTAAATTCTCCATCTAGCAGGTGCCGGTTTTCCTAGCATTTTTACCAAACCAATATTGCCTTTTTTAGCTTTTTTTGCTAAATTACTTTTTAAATGAAATATTCGATAATTTTTACTTTTTAATCAAAATTGTCATTTATCACACTATTGACACTATCACTATACTCGTCGCCAATATTTGCTATCATATTCCATCACCTGTTATCAAGATATATGATTTTTACATTTTTACGTAAATCATGCTGATAATTACAATAACAACTAATTATATGACATTGTCACGGACCGTGGACAATTATATCGGACGGTGATTATGACCATTGACCATGTTAATCACTCTTCAGATTATACCATTTATACCTAGGTCTATGACATAATAATTAACCAATAATATTATATTATTATTTTCTATTGTCTATTAATCGATTATCGGCTATCGAGCAAATAGTAAATACTAATTAATAACCTAAAATAATAATATTACTTAATTATATTAGTTTTAAACAATTTACTTATTACTAGTCAACACGTTATTCCGTAGTTCCATGTTCCGCTTAAATTCTATGCTACTTAGGAATATTGTTATTTTTTGAAAACTTGGAAAAACAGTGAATATTTTTATATAAGTATGGGTAAACCTCAGTACCTTCAAAAATTTCGAGAGGAGTGGTTAACCGAAAAATTATTTAAGGACTGGTTACTAAAAATTGAAAATGATAATTCAAAGACCAGATGTAGATTTTGCAAAAGTGAAATTAACGCAAAACGTTATGATCTGATACAGCATTCAAATTCTAAAAAACACAAAGAAGCCTCTAAGGCTTTTTCGACATCCAGATCCATAACCTCATTAGGAAAAGTCTCATGTATAAAAACTTCAATGGCAAAAGGTGGATTAGCTTTGTTTATTGCGGCGCATTGCTCAATATTGAGTTGTGACCATCTTGGAGAGTTGTGTGTAAAACAGTTTCCTGACTCAGAAGCTGGAAAAGGTATTAAAATGCATAGAACCAAATGTACGACAGTGATATGCAATATTCTATCCCCTCATTTTGAAAACAATTTGAAAAAAAGTATTGCTGACCAACCATACAGCATTCTCATCGATGAATCGACTGACATAAGTGTATTGAAGTTTCTTGGAATAACGATCATGTATTTTGACAGAAAAATTGGAAAAATAATGTCGACATATTTATCTTTGGTCGAAATGGAAGCGTGCGATGCAGATGCAATTACAGAGGCTGTCTGTAAAACTATTGAAGAAAAAGGCCTCAACATCAAGAAAATGGTAGGTCTTGGTAGTGACAATGCATCGGTAATGGTAGGTACTAACAACGGAGTTTATAAAAAATTAAAAGAGAAAGTTCCATCGCTTATCCATATACCTTGCGTTTGTCACTCATTGCAATTGGCGGTTTCAGCTGCAGCCAGTACAGCATTGCCTAGAAACATTGAGTATTTAATTAAAGAAACGTACAATTGGTTTAGCCATTCCACGCTGAGGCAGGCACAGTATAAAAATTTATATAATGCTATAAACAATGGACATAATCCATTGAAGATTGTAAAGGCGTGTGATACAAGGTGGTTGTCGATCGAAACAGCGGTTTCACGGATACTTCATCAGTGGATTGAGTTGAAAACACTTTTTCAAATAGCTAGGCAAAAAGAAAAGTGCTATAATGCTGAAATTTTATATAACATGTATAGTGATAATAACAACCTTGCATATCTCACTTATTTACATCCTGTATTAGTTGAGATTCAAATTGTTAATAAGTCTTTCGAGTCTAACAATGTAGATTCTAGTAAACTTTTGGACGATTTAACAAATTTGGTATGTTCAATCGCCAAACGATTTGTGAACCCATACTGCAGAGAAAATCCCTTGACCTGTAACATGGATAGCTATACAAGCCCAAACATCCAATGGCCTCTCGAATTTACCAGTATACTTGAAAAAAGCAACTCATCAGAAGACGAAAAAAAACAATTGAAGGAAAGATTAGTCCAGTTCCTACAAATATTACTGAAGCAGTTACAACAGCGGTTGCCAAAAAATGTTGCCATATTACAAAAAGTTTCAATGATGTCGGTAAGAAACACATTAAAATTAGTTAAAGATCCTCTAACACCCTTATTAGAACTTTTGAAAATTGATATTCATAAAATTGATAAAATTAACCACCAATAGCAGAACTTAACAAACACTAAATGGATCGAACAAACAAATACAACATCATTTTGGATAGAAGTGTCTGAGTACACAGATGCTAGTGGATTAAATCCATATTTTGATGTTTCGTCTGTAGCCTTACAAATTTTAATCCTTCCTTGGTCGAACGCTGATGTTGAACGTCTTTTTAGCCAAATGAATGTAGTTAAAACAAAGTTGAGGAATAGGATGGGTCCAAAACTTCTTAACTCTATTTTAACTATTCGAGCTGGTCTTAAACGTGAAGGGATGTGTTGCTCAAAGTATGAGTTACCAACAGATGTTTTAAATTCAATTACTAAATCATATATTACTCCTAGTCAAAATCAAGGTAATGAAGGTGTAGAAGATATAGGGGAACTTATGGATATAGATGTGGACTGTCCAATTTTATTTTAACATTGTTTATTAACTATCATAACATTTTTTATTTTTTATTTAATAACTATTATGTTTGAAAACTACTATTATTATATTTTAAACTATTAGTATTACAACAAACCAAAGGTTAAAGTTAATTATTATTTTTTATTTAATAACTATTATGTTTGAAAACTACTATTATGTATTATTACTACAAACCGTAGCTTAAAGTTGTTTTTTATTATTTTTATTTTATGACTTATTAAGTTTGAAAACTATGTATTATTACTACAAACCAAAGGTTAAAGTTATTTTTTATTTCATATTGTTTGTTTATTTATGTTGATTAATTATTATACTTTAAAATAATATATAATATTATTATTATCAGTTGGGTATTACTATTATTTATTTCAGATTTCCAAATACATTTCAGATTTAAATTACCTTAAGTCTAGTTACTGTTAACCATTCAACAATCATTATGATAAGTAGGTAGTTATTAAATTACCTACTTAATTTTACCTATTGCTAACTGCAACTATATGCCAAAAATATAGAAAACAATTATAATATTAAAATATCTATGATTTAAAAAAAACCTTATCAATAGCTAAGTCTTAATGCCTTATTGTATATAGCTATTATTAAAAAAAATGAAATAGCTTATTCTAACTATTATGAAAAATAATTGAAATGGCTTATTCTAGCTTTTATGAGAGAAAAAATGAAATAGCTTATTCTAGCTATTATGAAAAATAAATTAAATAGCTTATTCTAGCATTTTTATCATTATAGTTTACTTATATTTGTGATTTTATTTTGGCAACACTGATCATGGCAAACTTCATTAAAAAGGTAAGAATAAAGTATTTCAATTTGATGAATGTACCTAAAGTGTATACTATGTAGTATG